TATATATATATATATATATATATATATATATATATATATATATATATATATATATATATATATATATATATATATATATATATATATATATATATATATATATATATATATTTCCTGGCTCTAAATTACGCTTAAAATAAAAAAAAATGAACGGATGAGTCAAAAATCGTTTCTTCAATAAATACAATAAATAATTTATTTATTGCCAATTAATTCGAAATATAAATATGAAACAATTAAACATTAAGATAACTTATAAACGTATTTGTAAATATACTGATTATACCATTTAAAATAAAAAACTTATGGAGGCACTATAATAGTACTTATTTAATTTTAACGATACTTAATTTAATTAATAATACTTACTTATTGATAAATTTTACTAATTCTAACTATTATTTTTTTTTTAATTTCAATGGTGAAATTTATATTTTGTTAACACTGTAACGTTTTTAGTTCGTTACATGTCTTTTTTAAATATAATATATGATGTCTGGCCTATCATCACCGGATTCCCTCTTGTTCAGGCCGGATAGTTTATTTGACGCGTAATTTTTACGTTCCCTAGTCGCCAACTCTGTTATCGTTCGACACAACCCTGTTACTATTCTGTAGAGGCGCGCGCTGTTAACGTCGCTTCTGTCAACTCTCTCCGTGCTTAACCTCACTTTGTTTTGACTCTCTGTTTTATCCCAGCTTTTAGAAATGGTGATTATTTAAATCTTGCTGTATAATCTGAATCAGCTGCTATTTCAAAGCAACAGGTAAAGATGAAATATTATCCTTTTAGATTCGATATTATTATTGAATATTTTTAGGGTAGAGTTACGGATGTCCCAACTTGTATTTGTGTTTTGCTGGCACGTTGGCGTCCCTTTTCTTTTGTCCTGCAGAATGTCACATGGAAGAAAGGACATGTTGTTTATTATTTATTGAGCCCTCGGAAGTATTTCGAAGTAGGTTTATTTTGTTTATTAGACCTTGTTTGGTTTTAAACAAGAGTTTCATATTTTTAGGGTCCAAGATACGGACTGTGTCCAAGGTACGGACTATTTCCAAGGTACGGACTGTGTCCAAGGTACGGACTGTGTCCAAGGTACGGACTGTGTCCAAGGTACGGGTAGTGCCTTATGTACAGACATTATCTTATGTACAGATGTCCTGTGGACGAGTGTCCCCAATAAGAACGATTTTTTCTTACATCTGAGTGCCACAGCGTGGATGTAGCTTGAGTCCCATGCTGCTTCACTCCCATTTCTAAGCCTAGTCAGTAGCTACGGCTGTAAGGATTCATGGTGTCCTCAATCTGGCCCCTTTTGTTGTTTTGACCAACAGGATCGCCGACAGACAGTACAGAGATGCTAGACCACCTCACGCTGCTACTGTTTGAAGGTTACATAAAAGAACAGCTAAGTGTATATTCAAGTTCTAGTTTTACATGTAACATCTAAAACATTTTCAGTCTTAAACAATAACGCACATCTTAAGTAATATTGTACAGACTATGTTCAGTGGTTAGATTGTTAAGAACATTCATGTCGATATAATCTTTAAAATATAATTTAGATCTTAGGTTTCATTGCATTACGTCTTGTAATGGTATTACTTTTATAGATATTATTGCACTATTTTAATAGATGGATAATCAAACATAGATTCTAGAATCTACAGGTTGTAACATCTTCGATTTAGCATCATATGGAATATATCAAATTAATTAAAGTAATGCTACATTTCATATTTTCTCTTAAACTTTACATGTCCTGTATTTTATCGTAGTTGTTTTCATTGATATTTAGTACGACTCTTACCACCACTTTCTTTGACATATAACCACTATATATTTACTAGAACTCTACAATGTCATGTATCAGCAAAGAACGTCATGAATAAATATATTCATTAGTTTTAAGTATTATACAACTGTGTTTTCTTTCTCTGTACATGCCTGGTGCCCAATATCTATATATCTTTTGTTAATTATTACTGATTAATTTTCTCTCTAGTGAAATACCTTATCCACGACTGCTCTCCGATGAAAAGCTGCCGTTCGCAGTGGTAGTGGCTTAAAAAACGCTACAACACATGACACAAAATTAGCTACAAATCCATGTTTTTTTTAATTATTTAATCTGATTATATTCATCGCAACAATATTGATCAGCGCTAATTAACATTTAATAACGAAAATCGAGCCAATTCAAAGATTCAAATAAATAATATCCAAGTCAGCAATTTAAAGATATTATTTTTAACTTTTTTATTGTAAATTTGGACTCTCAATGTACGATCTAATAATATTCAATAAATCAACTTCTATAAACTAGTTTCTAATGCTCTACATGTTAGGGAGGGTTACCACCCTCCCTAACGCACAAGTTTATTTTTTGTTCAATCTTATTTATAGCTCTTTGAACATAACTTCTTGTTATAGTTCCGAATGCATTTTGTACTCTTTATTGTAAATGTTGAAATGTATTGATTTCACTTTTACAAATGACGCCAAGTAATGCCCCTTTAGTTATTGCATTTGATTTTCCGTATTCAATGTTTCACCCCACGTCATTGTTAAATACTAGAGTTTATCAATATTGTAACGATGAATAGATTAAATCTTAAAAAAAACAGAGCCGGATTTAAAACTAGTTTAAATAAATTATGTTCAAATGTCCGAAACAAAAAAATACGTGTGGCATATCACTGCACTCAGGAGACCGTGTACTTTTAAAATCTGAAATAAAAAATGCAGGTCCGTATTTAAAAAAATTAAGTTGGCCACTGTATCTCACAAATTATCAGCTAATTTTAAAGTGGCTATGAGAATGTGCAATTAGTTTTTTGATTTCCTAAAAAGTAACATCAGGAAAAAATAAAAATGATTTTCAAAAAATTCCGTTTCTTCCCAAAAATTCAGCAATCCTTGAAATTTGTAAAAAAAATTTGATAGCATTTTGGTGAACATCCTAAAGCGCAACTTTGCCCCAATTTAACCATGTTCGTATCTATTACGGTTACCGTGATACCAATGCTCGTACCTCGAATTTGTAGCACCCTGTATATAAAAACCAGCTGTTATGTTTTAACAGCACGGTTACGGGACGTCTTTGCAGCCACCCTAAATTAGATATTTTTCTTGTCTTGTCGGGCAGTAAACGCGAAAAACACCACGAGAATTTTGGTAAATCAGTAAAGACTATATTTTTCATTACGGCGAACAGTCGGTTCATTTTATTCCGAATTCTCTTTCGCAAAGTTCACTCGATATTCGTTAGCGTGGGCGGATAACATAACTCCCTGGAACCATTTGTTATAATAATATCATTTATTTTAGAACATGAAATATATTAAAATAAATATGATCACACAGTTCAGGTTACAAATTAACAAACGGCAAAAATAGTATACATGGTTATATCATCTTGAAAATAAAGCGTTAAGATGACAAGCAATTGCAAATATTAATAGTGTATATTTGACTTTTTTCCATAGCAATTTCTGAATAACATGCAATTTAATTTTTATTTTTAAGTATTTTTATAATAAAATAATACTAATATGAGTTTAAACATGTATTTTGGATTCCGTCAGAAATCCATGGACAGAAATGTGGATCCGAAATTTATGGACTGTATTTTGGACTCACATAAAACTGAATCATAATATTCCCTTGTGATTACAGTGAAGTAAAGTTAGTAAAATATAATACAAAAATACAAATAGCAATGATTTGCTATAAAATAATAAAGACATGCAAGTCGTAGAAACTAATCTAATTCACATTCCTTTGTCCAGATTGGAGTACAAAAAATTACACAATAATCACGGAAGACAACGGTCAACACGTCCGAAACTTCTACCTCGCTCTACCCAATTAGTCCCGAACCAGTGGTTCCCCTTAATTAGCTGCACGATCATAACTGTTAGATATCTAGATATAGCTTGACTGCACTTTTTTAATAGAAATTAATAACAAATGCTAAATAAATGTATATAAAAAACTTAATGTAATATGTATTAAAAAAATTGGGCCCAGTTCGTGTGATTTGCATTTTAAGTTCTAACTATTCGGAAAGGTATACACATTATGTTTGCCAGTGGCGGCTCGTGGCTTTCTTTCATGGGAGGGCACAAAAAAAATGAAAAGCTTTCGAGCAGGGGCGGATACAGAAATTTATTTTAGAGGGGGCCCAAACAAAAAGTAATGTAGAATATGCTTTTTAAAGCGCCATTTTTAACCCAAAAGCCTAATATTTAACCCAGTTTACATATTTTAGGGGGGGGCCTTGACCCCATGGGCCCCCCTTGTATACGCCACTGCTTTCGAGTAACTAAAAGATAATTATAATAATTTTTATATTCTTTAAACGTTTTATAACCAAATTTTAAAATGGATAATTTTTAATACATATAAAAAATTAACACAAAACATTATTTGTATAAAAAATCCATCCTCCTGTCTTTTTTTTGCTGAAAACGTCGATCACTTTGTTGTCAAAGTCATGTATCAACTGTATAAACGTTTTTTCTATTGACAAAGTTGCTAGCGCGTTCAGTCTATCCTCGGACATAGTACTTCTCAAAAAAAGTTTTTATACGTTTCAGAGTTGAGAAACAACTTCCGCATTCCACCGTCGTCATGGGAGTTGTACAGATTTTGTCTATTAATTTGTTGGTTTCCGAAAACACTGTCGTCAAGTTATTTTCCGATATAAAGACTAAGACTGATAAAACACCGTCCACACTGCACATATCATCTCTCTCATAAATTGCTGTAAGCTCCGCTTTTTAATTTTATACTGTCTAATATTGGATATGATTTTACAGTAGATTCAAAATGATTTTGTGGAAATGACTTCCTGTAAAATTTGAAACTTCTGGCATCAAATAGTTTGGCTGCATTTAAAAAGATCCTTAAAATCGAAACGGTCTTTGACATGAACTAAAATTGTATCCAATACTTCTTTTTGCGATTGTACTCCGTCTGTCTTCAGTTGATGTCACACGTGGTTGCTTGGCAGGATGTATTTCATCTTCGTCACACTCCAAATCATTAAAGCTTTGCCTGATTTGAACAATTTGTTGCTCAAATTAATCAACTGCGGCTTGCATTTGGGAGCTCTCAATTCCTCGAGTTTATGCCTGATTGAAAAAAATCTCGACATGAGGCATTAATCTATGAAACATATTCAACCAGTACATGAACTCTGGATAATCTAAGAACTTTAATAAACCAGATGCCTCGCTTATTGTTTTTGAATCCATTCCTGGTTGATCAATAATATTTTCCAAGTATTCTTTAAGCAATTCATTATATTCAAAAACAGTATTTACGACTCTACTTTTTAAAATTCCATTTCGTAGCTACGGCGCGTGGTAACCTCCGTTTAACAACTTGATCCAAAACCGCTGTACGTTTTGGGGATCGGGAAAAAAAAGTTGAGAAGGACTGAACATTTGCAAAAAATATTTTGATATTCCTGTTACATTGTGTGGCGCGTTCCATAATTAAATTAAATTGATGTGCATAACCATGAACGAAGTGAGCTTGGGGAAATATGTTCTTGATTATTGCCTGTACTCCATTATTTTTGCCACTCATTACTGCTGCGCCGTCGTAGCTTTGTGCTATTAGTTTAGAATTATCAGCCAGTGAATTTAAAATTAATTTCAATTGGTCCATGAGGCAATTGGCTAAAATATCTACAGCATACCCCTCTGGTTTAACGAATGCCCAAAACATCTCAAAAATTTCACCGTTAAAAACATACCGAATTATAACTACCATTTGTTGTTGATTTGAGATATCTGTTGTTTCGTCGGCTTCTATGGCAATAAACTTAGCGGATTTTATTTGATTTATCAGTTCATTTCGATATACCTCAAACATAGCATCTAATAAATCATTCTGGATTGTTTTTGAGGTGCTTTTAAACACTTTGGCATCTATTAAATGTAAGGCAAGAGCGGAATCTAATTCAGAGGCAAAGTTGATTAAACCTTGATAAATACCTGGATTTTCAGATGAAGATGTTTCGTCATGTCCCCTCAACGCCAACTCAAAAGCACCGCAAAATTTAATACACATTATAATTTGCCGTAAGATATGACGATTTTTGTTTAGGTTCTCATTATACTTTAGTTTATGTTGAAAATACGCACTATTTAATTGTTCTCGAATGTTGTGACGACTTTTTCTGTCATCACTTAAACAGAAAGAAAAAGGTATCCGTTGCTCAGGGTTAGAGGAGAGCTGGGTTCGTAGGTAAGACTTGTGACCTGTGGTGACTTAATAATGTTGTTAAATAATAAAATAAAAGTAATAATGTATAGGCTGCAAAGATTCTAAAATTGATGTTTAAGTATTCAAATAGTAATGGTCAAAGACAGTAAAAAGGGCGCCACTTACTTTGGGTATGAAAAGGTAAAGTAAGAAACCAGTAAGAAAATTTGATCATGAAATAGCTAAAATAAAATAATCAACAGCAATAAGGGTCTATTATGTTCATCAAGAATAAAAGTCAGATATAACTATCCTACGTTGAACATTTATTTAAAAACGAACACAATTATCAATCAGTTTAAACCCAGTTTCAATTATCTCAATGAAATCGTTAGTTACTTTAAGTAAACTCAAATTTAGTTAAAGTTCTCTCCAGTATACTATACTACGTAATATATAAACAGGTGAAATTTATGTAAGTACCAATACGATGATGTTTCGAAAACAAGTCGTGTACAATAACCTTCAAAAATGAATCCGTGTTAGCGATTCTCACATAAAAGATCATACTGAAGTAAAACGTACCGTTAAGGACAAAGCATGACTTATAATGTTAACTAAAAGGTAAATTTTGACTATAATATATGGAATAAATGACAACAATTTACAGAGATATTCAAAATATTATCTCAAAGTAAAAAAAATTTAGGGAATACCTTGTGTGTTGAACTTAGAACTTATCTGTATTTTTTTTTATTTTGTGACGTAGTGAACAGGTAGGCAGGCAGTCTCCAGACTAACGGAAGTGGATGTAGACTCTTCGATAGTAGCAGGAGTCTTCGATATCAGTAGAATAAATGTAGGGTCATAAATACTGTCTCAAAAGTGGTTACTCATATGCCAATTACTTATACGTCAATTTCTTATACGCCAGTTACTGGTCTGAAAATCAGCTGTACACCTTCCAAAATATAGCCAAACTATATGCTGATCCAAACCAGTAATGCACAATCAAACATTATCAAAATAAATAAAAAACGGGAATAATGTGATCTTATTCCAGGAAAAGGCCAAAAAAACACGAACTAGGCTCTGAACAGTATATTCTTACAGGATTTCAAATCTCCACTTTTGGATACCCGTGCCTTTACTGTTAGGAAAAGTGTTTCAGAAAGCCCTTTTTCTCTGAGATTCGTCGGACGCTGAACCACGCGTCTTTTTCTGATCTCAATCTCTCGGAAAAAAACCTCCTTTTCGCAAAACGGAAGTCTTCGAATTGACAGGTCATATGACCAAAGGCAATTAAGTGAACTCTATCGTCTATACTGAATGAAATTTGTTTTTATGGAAAGGAACCGCTACCTGTACTGAATGAAGTTTAACATCTAGCGAATAGATGGCGCCAGCAATATTAAAATTTGGAATTTTATAAAAAGAAAAATAAAACGCTACAATGTCCACTTTTCCTAACACATTAAAGTCAACATAGGCATTCATATGAGCCTCCGAATTTTCGTGTTTTTTTGTCCTTTCGCCTAAATGTTTCAAGTCACTAACACCTTGATAAGTCCACGACGTGTTCTTTTTTTGAAATCAAACAAACGAAGCAAAAAAGTTTATTTGTTGTTGAACAGCCACATAACCACTTATATTTCTCGTAAACACTTTTGTTAAACACTCTTTGTAACTTCGTGTTTTACTAGTAGACGTATAGCTAATGTCCAAATCTGGGGTAGGTCTTCCTTGTTCTTTAATTAAATTTTTTCCTGGTATTCCAGCGAAGCCTTTTGCAATATATATTGCACGGAATTTAATTCTAGTTCCATATTCAATAAACTTAAAAATAATTAAAATCAAACAAAACTCAATAACTCCAAATCAACAAACAATATTCAATGATCCGCCTCCTCAAACTGAACCAATCAATTAAATAACGTGTGTGTAAAGTAGTGTGCATATAAAATTCGCCGACGTTGCCGTCGCGTCGCAAAGCGAAACGACAAGTGCATGCGAAGAGAGGAAGAGACGCAAAATATTGTGCCCATTTCGCTAGCGAATTAACCATTACTTTTAACGGTTCGGTCACCAGATCGTCAAGAATATGCACAAATATCGGGACAAAATATGAGTGGTCCCGGAAACAAGTTTTGATATCCGTTGGCTGAAATATTATCATCTCAATAGTCGGAAAATAATTTTGATTATTTTTGATGCAATAATATAATAAAATTATTATAATGATAATAATGATGTACTATTAACTGGTTGGATTTAAGGTGTATGGAGGGTGGGCACGTTCCCTTGTGCCCTTTAGTACCAGCCGCCACTGATGTTTGCACATATGTACATGTTTTTTTCATATTGAAGAGGTCAAATTTATTTTAAATGTTGAAAAAATAAATGAGACAGTTATTTCATTTTATAAATACAATTTTATTGTCAATTGATATACAGTGTGTCCACGAAATAAGGTGATACGAAGAGGAAAAAATAAGTTACTTTTATTTTAAGACAAAAAGCCAATCTTTAACCACCCGGCGGCAATTTAAGATCCGGCGGCAATTCGCGGCAGCCAGTGGCAATTAATTTATATGCAATATACTTTAAGCAACAAGTATTATCATGCCGTTTAAGAGGATTTGAAAGGGAAAGTAGTTAAAAGTCTTAAAGAGTGACAAGCAAAAATGTAAAAATACTATTTTTGTTGCCTTCAAATAAATTGCCATAAACTAATATTACTTAGGTTTAATTAAGGGCAAAAACGAAAAAAAAACAGTTCTTTTTACCTTCTTTTCGAACGTCCATTATAGAAAAGGCAACAGCTTTTATCAATTTTAATAAAATAAGTAATTAATTGGCGTTATCTGAAAACTGTTTATGTCAGCTTGACACCAGTAGAAAAAAGGTGACATTTCTAATAAAAAAAGCGCTACACTAGGCTTACTTGATTTTGTTATTTATTATGTATCGTTTACAGAGGAATATAAGAAAAGTATTAGCAACAGTTTCATGCAAACATTTTGAAATTAATATTTCTAAGTAATGATCTATCTGGGAACTACTGTGCGATGTCTTGGTCTTATGTTTGTAATCCATGCAATCAGAAGTCGCAATCTGATAATTCCAAGACCAATGTGCAAGTGCACGGATTATATGTGCACACGAGACAGCTTAACACGCCGAACGTCGCTTGAGTATCGCAGGGAACATTAAAAGATTTTTATTTTATTTTAAGTCATAACCTACATGGATCTGAGACACACTTTCATAATAAAGTTTAGTTACACATTGTTTATATCTTTCTTTCTTTGTTTTGGCAGACTTTTAGTCTAATCAAATTTAAGAAACTTGTTGAAAATTATCTGCTTTCTGTTAGAAACGTTTGGTCAGACACTAAATATTTTTTAAAAATATCCTACTTTTTTCTCAGTATTATCTTAGTGTTATCTTCACATTAGTATCAGCTATTGCTCTCTCTACAATTATCAAAGATTTAACGAAACTAGTGATCTAGCTAAAGAGAATAATAAAGTTCAGTTCTTTGGAAGCAAGAAGAATAAAATGTTAAAAGTGGATTGCAGCTTGTGGAAACTAATCTAATTCACATTCCATTGTCCAGATTGGAGTACAAAAAATTACACAATAATCACGGAAGATAACGGTCAACACGTCCGAAACTTCTACCTCGCTCTACCCAATTAGTCCCGAACCGACCGATGTCTTGGTCGAAATAAATTCACCTTATTAAATCGGGTTAGTTGTTTCGTCTCGTCGAGCGGTAAAAGCGCCAAGTCCTCCGGATTCCGCTCGTAAAGTAGTAAAAACTATTTTCTTCATTAAGGCGGACGGGCGGGACCTTTTATTCCCGATTTTATTTGCTTTACAACGACCTTTTGTCGGTTGTACAAAGTTTATTCGGTGTTCGTTAGTGTGGGCGGACGGAACAATTTGCCGGGACCGTTGGAAAATTATTATTACAATAGTAGGGGAATGTTTTTAGCTGTCGGGATATATTCGAGAGGAAATGTAATTGTATAGGTTTAGACAAATGAAACATTAATTTTGAGCAGATATTATGTTAATTTTTAACAATGTATAGAAACAAAAAATATTCTATTGAAGGTTGTAACGTTTTTAGTTCGTTACATGTCTTTTTTGTATATATAATATATGATGTCTAGCTTATCATCACCGGATTCCCTCTCGTTCAGGCCGGATAGTTTATTTGACGCGTAATTTTTACGTTCTCTAGTCGGCAATCCTGCTATCGTTTCACTGTTCTGTGGAGGCGCTGCCAACATCGCTTCTGTCAACTCTCTCCGTGCTTAACTTCACTTGGCTTTGACCGTCCGACTGTCACCGTCAAAAAATCCTTGCTTCGAGAAATTGCAATTATAAAAATCTTGCTGTATAATTTGAATCAGCTGCTCTTTCGAAGTTACAGGTAAAAATGAGATATTATCTTTTTTGATTCGTTATTATTACTGCGTGTTTTTAGGGTAGAGTTTTGGATGTCCCAACCTAACTTGTATTTGTATTTTGCTGGCACGTTGGCGTCCCTTTTCTTTTGTCCTCCAGAATGTCACATGGAAGAAAGGACATGTTCTTTATTATTTAGTGAGCCCTCGGAAGTAATTTGAGGTAGGTTCATTTTGTTTATTAGACCTTGTTTGATTTTAAACAAGAGTTTCGTATTTTTAGGGTCCAAGGTACGGACTATTTCCAAAGTTATAGTCCTAAGTTATGGTCCAAGGTACGGGTAGTATTCCTTTGTACCATTATCCTATGCACGGATGTCCTGTGGACGAGTGTCCCCAGTAGGAATGATTTTTCTTGCATATAAAGTGCCCCAGCGTGGATGTAGC